CATTCTCATGTTCCTATTACCTAGCTTTGGTAACCATCAGTTTTTCATTATTCTTTAGGGAATTTTTTTTAAAGTCAGTCTTTCATGAATTTTAAGAAAAACCTATAGTCACTAAGCATTTCTGCACTAAGCAAATGCACCCCTCCACCAATGATTTAATCCAAATTTAGTAGACTAATTTCAGAGAAATGGCTTCTTTTCTTAATTCAATGGTTTAATTCCTCTTCGTTTCAAAATCAAAGTTAGAGTACCAAGCTGAAGGGAGAGCTCCAGAGGTACTGCATTCGTCCCAGACATGACTGATTGTTATCCTTGTCATCCCATGCCAGATCCATGTCATTTACGTGTTGTAAAACTGCTGACACATGTAATGACATGGACATATATTTTTTTTAATTTTTTTTACTTAAGTTCAATTTAGTTAACATATATTGTATTATTAGCTTCAGGGGTAGAATTTAGTGATTCATCAGCTGCATATAACACCCAGGGCGCATTCCATCAAGTGCCCTCCTTAATGCCCATCCCCCCACCCACCTCCCTTCCAGCAACCCTGTTTGTTTCCTATAGTTAAGAGTCTCTTACGGTTTGTCTCCCTCTCTGTTTTTATCTTATTTTATTTTTCCTTCCACTCCCCTATGTTCATCTGTTATGTGTCTTAAATTCCACATATGAGTGAAATCATATGGTATTTCTTTCTCTGACTGACTTATTTTGCTTAACATAATATCCTCTAGGGACACCTGGGTGGCTCAGTTGGTTAAGCATCTGCTTTTGGCTCAGGTCATGATCCCAGGATCCTGGGATCAAGTCTTGCATCAGGCTCCTTGCTCAGCGGGGAGCCTGCTTCTCCCTCTGCCTGCCGCTACCCCTGCTTGTGCTCTCTCTCTCTGACAAATAAATAAATAAAATCTTTAAAAAATATATCCTCTTGTTCTATCCACATCATTGCAAAATTCCATTCTTTTTGATGGCTGAATAATATTCCATCGAAAAATAAATATTTATAAATAAAATAAATATATATATGTATATTCAGCTGTAGATGGAAATCTGGGCTCTTTCCATATTTTAGCTATTGTGGACATTGCTGCTATAAACACTGGGGTGCATGTGCCCCTTCAAATCACTATTTTTGCAGCCTTTGGATAAATACCTGGTAGTGCAAGTGCTGGGTCATAGGGTAGCTCTATTTTTAACTTTTTGAGGAACCTCCACACTGTTTTCCAGAGTGGCTGCACCAGTCTGCATTCCCACTGACAGTGTAAGAGGGTTCCCGTTTCAACATGGACATATTTTAAAAATCACGCTAAGGAAAAGAAGCCACACAGAAAGGACTACATACTGAAGGATTCCATTGTTTATGCTATTCTGAAAGACAAAACCATTTTGGCAAAAATCGGATGAGTCTTTGCCAGGAACTAGGAATAAAGAGAGGACACTGAATGCAAAGGGCTATGATGGGACATTTTTGGGATAGAAATACTGTATATCTTGATTATAATGGTGTTTATATGCTTGTACACATTTGTCAAAATTCATCGACCTGTATACTTAAGAAGGGAGAATTTTAAGGGTGTCTGGATGGCTCAGTTGGTTAAGCATCCAACTCTTGGTTTCAGCTCAGGTCATGATCTCAGGGTTGTAGGATCGAGCTCCACGTGGGGCTCTGTGCTCAGGAGGGAGCCTGCCTGGGATTCTCTCTCCCCTTCTCCCTCTGCTCCTCCCTTTGCTTGCATGTACCTTCTCTCTCTCAAATAAATAAATAAATTTAAAAAAAAAAGAAGGGAGAATTTTACTGTATGTAAACCATGATTTCAGTTCATCTATATTTTATTAACATATAATATAGTATTTGTTTCAGGGGTACAGGTCTGTGATTCATCAGTCTTACACGATTCACAGCACTCCACTTACCCTCCCCAATGTCCATCACCTATGAAGTCTAACTTAAACAAAAAAAAAAAAAAATAGCATACCAAGGTCTAATGGACCAAGGACGAAATGATCATCTTCCTTAATTGGGATAATACATTAAAAATGAAACTTGAACTGGTATTTGATTTAGGGTAACCATTTCACAGTTTTGTTTTTTATCAAGCTTAGAATCCATTAAAATATCCTGTATGTGTCTAGTTTTAAAAAAAAAAAGTCAGTATACTGAATACTACATCATAAACTAATGAGGTACTATATGCTGGCTAATTGAATTTAAACAAAAATCAATCAATCAATCAATCAATGCAGTACTGTAGCTTAATCTTTTTAAAGATTCTATCTGATATATTTATTTCTACCACATGAATCTAGATCTTTTTTATTCTGTACATTGCTATACAAGAATATACTCTGTATAATCTTAAGTCATCCACAATTTAGTCAGCATGCTTTGTAAAAAAATATTGTTCTTTGTAGAAAAATAATTTTTAATTTGTTTTTGTTTGGTTTACACTAGATTATATGAAACATGTATTTGTATATGGTAACAGAATCTAAGTAAACTGATGAAATATAAGGGTCCTGAAGCCTGATAAAATGTTTTCTCAAGTAACGTTACTTATGTTCTGTTATAATCAGTTCCTTTTAAAAAAAAAAAGATTGATTGATTTATTTGATGAGGGAGGGGCAGAGGACGAGGGAGAGAATCTCCAGTGCACAGCTGAGCATGGAGGCCAAAGTGGGGCTTGACCCTAGGACCCTGAGATCATGACCTGAGCCGAAATCAAGGGTCAGACGCTGAACCAACTGAGCCACCCAGGCACCCCAGTTCCTTTTATTTTTTCAAGGAAACACTTTAAATCTTTCTTTTATAAAAGGCCACTAGTGTTAAATTATTTTAAATTATATAAATTACTGTGAGGTTTTATTTCTTTCAGTTCTCTTCACCTTTATATTTTTAAGTGTATTTATGTATTTTAAAGAAAAATATCTGGCATTAAATAATTGTATGCAAATGTATCTTAAATTACTATATATGTATTTGTTTTGTGTTGATAAAATTCAATATAGTTAAGTAATTCCCATTTTTTTAAATTGCATATGCTTTTGTTTGAATTTGTGATAATCCTACCTTTCTAATTTGTCCTATAGAGCACATATATGCTCTCTCTCAAGTGAAAGGAAATTTTCTTTGAGTAAATTAGAATTTATATACTAATTCTTAGATTAATATAGAAACATTTTCAACTACGGAACAAAAAGATTCCTCCCCCAAGCAGATAAGAAGGTACATCTTCCATGTCACTATTCATTATTGATAAACCATGCTGTCCTTTTAGATAATTAGGTTTAAATGCTAATATTTTACAATTCTCTATTACAAGATGTACAAAGATATTTTAAAAAGCAGTATATTCTCGGACACTTCTACAGATAGATATTTCCCTAGATTTGATAGTCCTTAATAATTGTTTGTTATTTCTATTTGCTTATGAATTTCAATGATTACTTATCTTCCAAAGTTCTCAAAATACAAATATTGTAACATGCGAGAAGGAGAAGACAAATTTTAAAATAACCCTCCCCAGTTGCCGGATACATGAGCTCATACTTTTTTCCTGATCACTCATTTGGACAGAAATATCTTAACTTTCTAAGAGAGATATCTGCAGCTGATTTTCCTCTTTTGAGTTTTTTTCCAGGCAGGTAAGAGAGTCAGAATGCAAAGCAGTACAAAGCACATGAGGAATTCACTTACAGACCTGGATATAATTTAGGGCATGCATACTGGGGTTTGGCTGATCTCAAATGTACAGATTTATCTATTTCATTTTTCATAATGTCTTCTTTATTATACTACATATGGAAATGTCAATGAAAACTATTAAACTAGAAAATACTTTATGAAAGTCATAAAATGTTAGTTTGCATTACATTTCAATCAGGCATCATGGCTAAAGTAAAGCACCGTTCATTATCTAGTTCAGTTTCTATGATGCTCACTGGAAACTCTGTGGGTATCTAAAAGGTCATTTTTAATATACACCGATAACCCTTCAGGTTGAGAGAAAACCACCCCCAGTGGTGACATTATTACTTTCATTCTGAGAAATAACACATATCATTTTATCTGTAGTATAAGTCATAAAAAGAATGCAAAAATAAAAATGAACTCAACTAATAAACAGGAAAGATGTTCTGAAAAACTTTTTGAAACAGGCCAGAAATGACAAAATTTTTTTTTAATTTTATTTATTTGTTTGTTTATTTATTCATTTGAGAGAGAGAGCAAGTGAGCTCGAGCAGGGGGAGGGGCAGAGGGAGAGAATCTCCAGCAGACTCTGTGCTGAGGGGAGAACCTGACTTTGGGATTAACCTCAGGACCCTGAGAACATGATCTGAGCAAAAATCAAGAGTCAGATGCTTAACCGACTGAGCCAGCCATCCAGGAGCCCCCAGAGTGACTAATTTTTTTTTTTTAATAAATAACTTTAGTGAGACATTATCACAAACTACATGTTTTTTTTTTCAAGTTACTCTATAGGAAAATGCACGCTACCCTTTCCCCTAAGTATTTTTCAAATAATATTTTCTAAATATCTTGGAATTAGTTACCACTATATTCTAGAAACTAGACACAAATCCTGCTTTTACGGGACTTACAATGTTGTCAAAAAGATAAGGCAGGTCTTATATTTGCTCAAAACATGAGTGAGGCGGAAGAAGTCTAAAAGTAAACAAGTTTACCAAAAAATGTCAAGATTCACAGAATTAGGAACTTGAGAGTTAAATTCAATTTTTAAGAAATAAATTTACATTTTTACATATGTTCTCTGTAACTATAAAATTCTATCTACAAGTACCACCATGGCAAGAGCAGAATTGCAGAACATAAGAAACTGGTTAAAGGAATATTGATAAAAGAATAAGCAATAGATTATTTCTTAAAACATAGATGGTTTTGTGCATATTAAAAATAAATGAAAACATCAAGACATGTCAAATTATACAGAAATAGGCAGTTTTGTCTAATCATTTTATTAAGAAGTAGTTCATCTTACCTCCATTACCAGTTGCCGAAGAGATGGTGAAGCTATGGAATGTAGACTTGAGTTACCCCTTATGGGACTATGGAGACTAACGTAAGCCACAACATTTCTCTGCAGAACCTTCTTGAAATCCTGAAACCAAAACAAACAAACAAATAAAAAAAAATTAAGAAAAGTAACATATTTTACTTTATCAGTTATGGGTTGAATAATAGACGCTCCCTACTTAAAATCATTACATGACACAACTACTGTTTTTAAAAAATGTACTCTATTAGAGAGTACAAGGGTCACAAAAGGATTTTAAATAAAAGGGATAAGAAGTTACATATCACACATGACAAAATATTTCTAAGCATGTTCCTGAAAAAAGTCAAATCTTAAAAGAGAATGTTCTTAAATGGTTAGCCTAGTAGAAGATTCAGCTTTGGAGTACAGAATGGAAAGTTTGCTCTAGCCACAGCACTTAAGTTTAGAGTTACTGAGTTAGAGAACAGACATGGGTAAACTACTAGTGTGATTAATCAAACTAGGCCTTTCCTTTGAGACAATGAGCTAATTTTTACATGCAGTAGCTCTTTATTCTGAGCAAAAATGGGGCATAATACACCTTTGTCCCTGCACGTATTACCTGAAATAAAACCTGAAACATTTTATGCACATGAGTAGCAAAAAAATGATTTCAGCAGAATAGTTATTCTACTTCTCTGCTGAGCCCTATCCCCCCAAACTGAAGACCACTGAGCCTATTAATAAGGTGCTGCTACGAAGGCCTGAGGTTATATTCCCCCTTTTATGTACAAACATTAATGACTAATCATCATGGTGACAATTGTATAGAAATTTCCTAAAATCCGTCCTACTTCATGTCTTAGGTCCTTACCTTTCTTCCTCCAACACTATGACATGGAAGACCGCAAGAGCCTGTCTCCCTAGCAAATCAGTACGTGACTCCTATTTTAAGTTGAAAATTCAGCTACACCTCTGTAAGATAGGTGAAGACATTCCATTTAAAATTAATAAATGTTTTAAATGGACAGGAATCATGAACTGAAACTTAAACACTCTGCTTTGCACATAATGTTATTTTTTTAAAAAGTCCCTTTTTTTCGAAAAAAAAAGTCCCACAAGTGCTGTGGCAAAACAACTTCCATTTACACACTAGCACAGAGACACTGTCTATGTATTAGTCCATTTTACACTCATGAGAACCTCACATTAGTATACATGTGGCGGAATCAAGTCTTGGAGAAAGTTAATCTCACCTAAGACCACAACGTTTTATGGTAGAAAGAATCTGAAGTCAGACTTTCTGACTGTAAATTCTGTAATATTTCCACACTCACCTGTGAAAAATGAAGAATCTTCAAAAGAAGAAATGGTACTTTTCATTTAGTAAATGGTACTATTTTATTTAGAAATTTTACTACTTATTTAGTAAAATGTGGTAATTTTCCTCAAGGATCGAGATCAGTATTGAGTCACTTCTGTAATAACTCTATCACCATAAATTTCAGTTTTAAGTTTATTGACCAATATCACCTGATCTTTTTACAGCTGTGGGTTTCAGGGGTTTCCTCTGCAAGCAGAATTAAATACGGCAATATGACATGTCAACAAGTGCTTTCCGCATTCGTCTTCACTAGGAAATCAGGTTAGAGCCCAAAGTAAATGTTTCGTTCTCAGGAGTAGATTTGATAAAAGTAGACAGAACAGGAAAACCAGTAGTTTTCTAAATTCCTTCTCAACTATTTAGTTTAAAATGGCTCCATGAACAGTATTGTAATAATCTTCTGAGATAGAGTAATTTTACATGGTATATTTTATGAGCCAATAATCAAATCTTTATGTTATTCACCATTTTCTTCACTCTTGTATCTTTGCTTACCTAGTCATGGAAAAAGCCAGAAAGTGACTGAACTGATAATTAGTTGCCAAACATGCATATAGACATAAATATGTTAGGACAGAGGTCCCTACTTTTTTTGAATAGGAAGAGCCTTTTCTAACATAAATACTTTTTCCTATGGACTCCCACATTATAGGTTTTTTAGTTGTTTTAGTTGTATTTGCTGATAGAGAAAAATATAAAACTATTGAAAGATAAAATAAATTTGGTAAAACTTACAAATAAATTTATATTTTATCAAACACACAAAATAATCTCCTCAATTTGAAAGTATAATTGCCCATATACATGCAAGGCCACTTTATTGATTCAATTTACAGGCTATGATGCTTGATGGTCAAATAAATTCAAAGACTTTTGGCAATGCACTTCCCCATGCATAGGGGCTCAGGATATATGTTAGGGACTACTAATGTTGGACAAGCTGACTTTCAGAACATAGCTTAGAAATATATGAGTTAATTTAGGATTAATATAAATTTCATGTGAAAATTACTAGACAGATATGGAGAAGGCTGTATGATATAGAGGAATACATTTTTGGAATTTGAAAATCTTTAAGACACTCTTTTTAAAATGCACCCCTTAATGTTGCAAGAAAACTAAAATACTATTTTATGATGAAAAGAATTCCAAAATACTAAAATCAGCCCAGATTACAAATATATTTCCCAAATTGCTTTTTAACGTGTTTATGTCTTTAAAGTAAGTAATTTGGAATAAAAGTCTGAAAGGTTGGTTTAGCTATTACATTTTCCATCTAATTAAAAATATGTCAATTTAAAAATGTTCTTTCAGCAATAGAATTTATTCATTTGAATTAGTTCTTTTGAATATGGAACAAATAGTCACACAACTAATTTGAGTATGAAAAATATTCTAATTTGCAACATTTATATCTTGACAAATTTTACACTAAAATTTTTCCATTCTTAAGACTTTTTTTTCTTCAAATTAAAAAGACACTTGCTATTTCCTTTTGTGTATCTTTTTGATATTCCCTTGAAGTCAATAGACATTTTATCTTTTTTTTTTTTGAGTTCTTAAATAAAAAATGAAATAGGAGAATTTCCCATTAGATATTTAGGGTTTTTTTTTTTTTCCAAAGCTGAGATAGTAAATAAACTAGAATATCAAATAGTTTTATTTTCCTAGATAAAATTGTATAGATTTTCTCCTACATTTTCCACTAACCCTTTTTTTTTAAAAAAAATCATAAAGCAAATAGAATATCTAAGAGTTTTAAAATGTTTTCCTTGTTTTTAATATGGCATCAATCCAATTATCAGTTGATGTATCCCATTAAAAATACAGTGCATCTGTGAAACACAGACCTATCAAAAGCATTTGAAACTTAAACATACCAGTGGTATTCTAACTGTGACCCACTGCATGCTAGATTTCATTTGGACAAAGCCTTCCTAAGGTAGTTCCGGTAGGTAGGCAGGTTAATAGATTTTTAGGAAAGAAGGAACAGAGAGATAGAAGTGTAGGACTACAAGGAGGATGGAATGGGGGGAGTGAGAAGGAAGGAAACCACTATTTTAAGCTATGGTATGATGCTAAGATAGTAGATATTTAACATAGGAGACTGTTTCCTAATTCCAGATAATTGCCAGAAAGTTAAAAAAAAAAAGTAATTGTATGTATCACCTGATCTTTTCTTGTCCAGTAACTATCAACCTGTCTAAGGAGAAACACAATAACCAGGTAAAAACAACTGTGGGTATATCAAAGTCTGCAGGTCTGGTAGCATCAAGAGTAAGATAGTAGCAGATCATACACAGTTCACGGGGCTCTAATTCCCCCTCAGTCTTATGGGTGATCTCAGCAAGTTAGAAGACAGGACAACTGGGTTGAAAGGCACATTCTTATCCCTGGCTTCAACAACTTTATTTTGTCAACTTAAGTCTAAAAGAGAGAGAGAGAGCGCATGAGAGCATAGTAATTAATGTACATTTACCTCTCCCCATTCATATGAGCCAATGTTGCCAAAAGCTGTTCCTCCCCATGAACAGAAAACAATTGTGCGGTCTGGTCTCCACCCTTTCTTAACTCTTAACATCAAGGCCCGGATAAAAGCCGTGATTACGGCAGTGCTGCTAGCCCACTCTTGTCCGTAAGGACCATATGCGGTATGATGGTGGCTGCCAACTATGATATACCGGTCTGGAAACAGAAGGAAACAAGGGCCATTAAAACAAAATATAAACCTTAACAATAAATTTAATGACATTTACATAATCCTGTTGCACAACTGAGCACCAATTATGTAAAATTGTCCTAATAATTAAGACTACTTTAACATTTTTCACCCACTGTCTTGATTCACACATCTGTGTATATCAAAGCAGAGGCAGCTGCTGAACTCAGTTATGATTCCAAAGCCTAGATCCATATTACTGTCCTTTGCAACATGCATATTAATTAATGAAGTATACAAATATGCCACAATGAAACCTTTAACATTTTTCCAGAATCATAGTGGGAAGTGTCCTATAAACAATGTGTGTATGCTCAGTAAATATTAATGAACTATTAATACATATGAGGGAGCAGTTATTCAGTAGCTGTAAATATTAAATAATGTGGTAGTCATATATGGATTTTGAAATAAATGAAGTATTTAGGGAATTAATTATAGCTTCCAACTTAGAGTTTTATCTCCTCTCATTTCCCTGAAGGAAAAAAAAATCAACATCAAAAGTTATCCAACTACTGTAAAAGTTTTCTTTTCACATTATTTCATATAATCATACAAAATTCATTAGACACAACATAAAAAGATCTCCATGACACATGGATGGGGCCGGCTCAATGTACATTACTGACTATTGTCAATAGGTAGAAAAAACTCTTATCTCCAGAGTTTCCTCTGATTTGGTTGCCACTGAATGTTGCTGATATAGAACTCTATTTATTTCACCAAGAAATCCTATACATCGATGTAAAAAGATTTCTTCACTGAGTGTCATTTTATTTGGAGATGTTCCATAGCTCAATGGTGCAGACTCTGAAGCCAAGCCTGCTTGGGTTTGGATCCAGACTATTCGATTTACTAGTTGTATGACCGTGGAAAGCTTATCTAAGCTCTTTATGCCTTGATTTCTTCAAGTATAAAATGAAAATACAAATACCACATACATCATTCACTTGGAGTTTTAAATGAGTTACTAAATGTAAGGCACTTTGAACAGTGTCTGACACATAATAAGTACTACCTGTGTGTGGAATAAATGAATTGCTCCTTTACTTCATGGCATCAAAAAGTTATCTGATGGGAAATCATTGCATGGAGTTATTTTAATTTTCTACACTGATTTTAGAACCAGCAATGAATCTGATCTGCCAACATTTTATCAAAATTTAATTAATGGTATATCCAGGGTGGTTGCAAATGTTGAAACTCAGGGAATTTATTTACTCATCTCCCGGATATGTGTGAAAGTTCTGCTTGGGATTATCTGTATTCTAGATAAAACATATCCAAAAGCCTTAATGATTGTTTCTAATTTTCAGAGTCATTAAATAAGAAAATCATGTGAATGAACAGCCAATATTTTTGTGTAGAATTCAAATAAAATTTGGGAAGCTTTGCTTATTATACACTGAAGAATATTACTGGTAAATTGATTTTAAGGAATTGATTTTTTTCTATATTGAATTTCAATTAGGAAAGCTCTTTTACCCTCAAGCTAGTATAGTTTTGTACAATTTGGTTTTTCCATAAAAACTTGTAAATGTAGCAATGATGATAAATATTTCTGGTGCTTCAATTAGAGATTCTTATGATGGAAATTTGTTGAAATAGTTGAAATGCAGCCATGACAACTTCCAAACTCATTTATATCTTGTATTGAAAGGCATTAAAACAGAGGTTGAAAGACATTAAAATCAGAGGTTTTTCAACATTGCTACTGTAAAGAAATCAGAGAAAATATGAACCTTCCATAAATTTTCTAAAAGAGTTGGCTGGTAAGAAACTTGGGGAGATGTAAAACTTGATCTCAAAATTCTCTGGTTTATCAATTACAGGGTCAATTTCACTAAAGTTGTGGAGAAAAATAATTCTCCAAGGAAAATCAGAGTCAATATCCTAACCAAATCAACAGAAGTGGCACAAGACTGCCACATTCTACCCTGTATGCCAAGCACTCCGACTGCAGGATGTGGCTCAGTCTCACAATCCATTCAGGAGAATCTCTTAATTAATATATGTACTAGTTAGTTTTACTTTTTTTAGCCTGCATCATATTATCTGAAGATGCCATGAACATCCCAGAGCAAGGTGTACAATTATTTAAAATTTAGCCGGGTGATCATTTTCATAAGCATCTTCAAAACCTAAAGCCATGTAGATATTAGGCAGAACAGTCAGTGGACCAAGGTTCACAGACAAAACATAGATTAGCACTGAAAGATGAGATTTGGGAGATAAAAACTTTTATTATTTTTTATTTTATTTTTTTAAAGACTTTATTTATTTATTTGACAGAGAGAGATATAGTGAGAGAGGGAACACAAGCAGAGGGAGTGGGAGAGGGAGAAGCAGGCTTCCCGTTGAGCAGGGAGCCCAATGCAGGGCTCGATCCCAGGACCCTGAGATCATGACCCAAGCCAAAGGCAGACGCTTTAACGACTGAGCCACCCAGGCACCCCTATTATTTTCTTAAATACACCATTAAAACTAAAATATTTTCTCTCTTAAAATGTCCTTTCTTGATAAAAGTGTTATAGTGGTTATGTTATAGTGAAGAAGAATAAACAAACAAACAAAAAGCGTTGGTTTTTGTAGCTTTTCTTCATGAGGCACATGCCAATTTAACAAATCTAACCTCTGCTTTCTTCTTTTGTTTTGTTTTGTTTCCCTTATACTCTCTACTTTGATTTATTTTTGAAGAGAGTAAGAAAGAGAATAAAGACCTGCTTCTTGGTTTCATACGGACTCACTCTGAGAATGCTATGAACTAGTTACATCTAAATTAGGAAATGCATTTAATTATGTTCCTACATTGCTATAGAGTATTTTCTTGTAATGGTTTAATAGATTATAAATACATATAGAATCTCAGCCCTACTTACCTGGAGATGTCAAGCCCTTTAAATATCCAACAACATTAGTAACTGTTTTGAATTTTGTAACTGTCTGAACTTGCATGTTGACAGTTCTTTCATCTGAAAAAAAAATTAAGATATTTACTTTTCTATATTCTGTTGTTTTTTTCTTAAACATTCAAATTAATTTATCTAATATCGCTAAAAAAAGAATTCCAAACAATTGAATTTTTTTAGAAAATCAAAGTTATACCTTGTGACAAATATCTATTCAATACTTTGTGTCAACTCTATTTTAGGTACTTGTTATACAATGATGACTAAGTTACCATTGCTGGCCTCACAGACCTGCAGAGCTATAAAGAGGCAGCTCTACGCTACAATTAAGTTCAATATGAGAGCACCCAGAAGACCTCAGGGAGATGTGGACAACTCATATTTTAAAAAAATACATATCAGATAAAAATATTTCTGAAGAAATTTAAGTACTTTTCTAGCTTCAGAAAAAAGAACATGTGGAAGCTAATTTAACCTTCCTGTATGACTCATTATTATGTTATCACATTGAAAACTGTAAAACATTGCAGAAATTAAAATTAAAAGAATAAAGGTTTCTAAAGTTAGACATATTTCCAAATATTGCAGTCTCTTGTGCCTGTTAAAATGTAAAAATAAGACATGGATACACAAAAACAGAATACCAAGAGATACAGAACTTAGGTAAAAATGTGTGTTTACAGACAAAATATTAAAAATGAGAGAATAAACAGAAGAAACGAAAACTGGGTTAGGAAGGCCTCCCAGGGTCTGCTGGGGTGAAATATGGTTGTAAAAAGGCTTGAACATACCTGAACCCTTGGACATTTGTTCTTCTCCTCCAGTTCCCAGGGGTAGTGGGAACTAAAACCTAAGGAGACCATCTTCCCCTATTGCTCCACCTTATAACACCAAATCCCTGAAAACTGAGGCTGCCTGGGGAACTGTCAGAAGACATGAAGACTCCCATTATACAAACCCAGAAAGATAAAAATTGGGGTCTGACTCCAGTTCTGCCCTCCTATAAGTCATAAGACGGTAGCTAATAATTTCAGAGCAACAAAAACTCCCAGACTAAAATAACTAGATATCTGGTTGTGAGGTCCACAACCACACAAAAGAAACAAAATGAACATATATCCTACCTAAAATAAATATATTGAAACATACAACACATGAATTTAAAAACTAAGCATCATAATTAAACACAAGAACAGAAGGGGATCCATTAGCAAAAAGAAACAACCAGAAACCCTTTTAAGAAGAAGAAATAATAGGTAAGGAAATAGAATAATTAGAAGAAATATGACAACAGATAGGATTAGTAGATAGAGATAGTAAGTAATACATATGACTGACAACTGAATTTAAGAGCTATATCAGATGAGCAATTTTTCCAGCAACCACAGAAGAGGATAAAGAGAGAAAATAGGAAAGTACAATTAAAATTCATGGTGGATAGAAATAGAATTTCTAGAAATGATACAAGAAGAAGAAGAAAAATAAATGGAAGAGAGAAAATATTTAAAGAAATAATATTTTTCCAGAAAAAGGAAAAACACATCTATGTATTTTATTTTATTTTTGTTTTGATTTGTTTTTGTTTTTGCTTTAAAGATTTTATTTGTTTATTTAACAGAGAAAAAGAGAGAGAGAGCACAAGCAGGCGGAGCGGCAGGCAGACAGAGAAGCAGGCTCCCTGCAGAGCAGAGATTTACTAATATGGAAAGAGAAAAAATTAGGTATTGATAAGTCCTTCTGGTTTTCTAGATAGATATAAAAATAAATAAAAATATAATCTGTATGTACATACACATATATTTATCCATATTTATATTAAAATATAATATTAAAATATATTTCCCTAGTTTTGTTTACTAAGAAGTACTGAAAGAAGTAACACTCCAATAGCAATGAGCACATCTAGAATCCATGTCTCATTTTCTAGATACCTTCCTCTACTCAAAGGAACTAGGACCCTTTGGAGAAATGGCTGATAACAGGGTTGGGGTCGGGAAGCACAAAATGATTTGGTATCTCAAATTTTTGCTATCTCAAAAACAAAGGAAATTTCCAAAGAATAATGAGAATACACCAATAGATGGAACCTAGGTCAAAGGTGATATTTTGGGCTGACCTGGGACAATTTGAGTATCAAAAAAAAAAAGTAGTACTGAATTATAATCCATTGAATAAATTAGGGATATAAATCCTAATTACATATAATAAATTGATCCTCTATGTATAAATAAACACCCAAATAAATAGGAAAAAGAGAGCTCTTCTTTACAGTAGAGTGCCAACTAATAAAAGCAGAAGGGATGATGAACTTGGAAGGTCACTGTTGGCATCATCTTGATAATGGCTAATTGCGCATAAAGCATAAATAAACATTTAAACTAGTGGGTGGACATAAGAGGGTGTGGGAACAGGATCTTTGCATGATTTCAAATGATTATTAATTGTAAAAGAAAAAAATTTAAAAATAGTAACCTCAAAGAGGAGCTCTCACAGATTTTTCATTATGTTAACTGAATTATCAAAGTTAGCATTACCAGTAATGGGACAAACTGATATCAATAATGGGGAAAAAACAGTTTCACTCTGTAATATTGCTGTCAAAGATGCAGAGACTGAAATTATTCATGGGAAAACATCAGCTAAACCCATACTGGGGAACATTCTGCAGATAGCAGGCATGTAAGCTCCAAAACTGATAAAGCAATGGAAGTCAAGCAGAGACGAGACTATTCCAGGCTTAAGGAAATAGGACACCTCATAACTCACAACACGTGACCCTAGTTTAGATCCATTTGCTATTTAGGTCATTACTGAAACACCTGGCAAAATTTGAATGGGGCCTTTGGAGTGCACGGTAGTAACGTATCAATGTCTCATTCCTGATTGTGATGGTTGTGCCGTCTGTATAGAGAAAATGTTACCGATTGTGGGAGAATTCAGATGTGATGGGTCATCATGTCTATAGCTCGCTGTCAAGTAGTTGAGAAAAAAATATTCCTTGTACTATTCTTGAAACTTTTCTGTAAGTTTGCATTTACTTCAAAATTTTAAAAAATACATCTGAAATTAGAAAATTCTGGATAACATTTAGACGCTGTTTGTTATTTAAGAAGTCAGTGCATGTGTATGTGTGTATATATTGCTACTTTAAGATAACATTTCCAACTCACATTTGCCAAATGTTTTCTGTCTTTCATGCCTCAAAGTTTGATGGCAGCTTTAAATTTGATGTGTGAAGTTCAAAAGATTTCAAGATGACAAAAATGTGTTTCACTCAGAGAACATTTGTATTCAAATAGGGTGAGGAGCGTCAGAGCTGAAACATAAAAGTAGTTGCCTCTCTCTAGTCCTTAACTTCATCACGTGCAGAGAAAAATACTACAGAAATTATTTTCCAGTGATAATTCTGTCTTGCATTTTTGTTGTTATAATGAAGACTTGACTAGTTGTCTCCTTCATCATAGCTAACAAGGCTTCATCTCCACCTGCACTGTGAGTAAGCATGACCCAATAGCTAGGAAAAATCCCAACCTTATTTAGAGAGATTTGAGGTCTAAAAACTGCTGCTAACTCTGAGGCCTAATTCTGATAAATAGGCTTTTGTTGGTTTCGTAAACATAGTTCTTGCTTGGATTCCTAATTTTAATTGAGTATTTCTCTCATTCTGTGTACCTGACTCTCTTTTTAGCTACCTGACTCTAGAAAAGAACTTCTAGGATTGGGGCTATGATTTGTTTTCTTTATTTTTCAATTTCCCTGCACCCTAGGGACTGGAATCTACTCTAGAATCATACTTTTGATGATTGGGACTCTATAAACTGCTAGCATCTTTCCTAAATGACAACTGCTTCCCTAAATATCTGAGTATAAACTGCTTCTGGATTCTATGTCATCACAGCTTGTAGAGTTTTCTGAATGCTCCATTTTTTCACGTGACATCTTCCCATCGCCAAATGTTTTTTTGACCCAATATTATTGATTGACATCATATGCTCTAGACCGAGGATCTTATTCAAAATATTTATCAAAATAGTTATCAACTGATACAGCATACATGCTGACCAATCAGAATGCACTGGCAGCAAGTAATTGGAGTGCCCACACCAATGGATGCAAACTGATATCATCAGACCTGCCCCGGATACTATGTTCTTCTTGCCATACTGTAATTTTCTCAGGGGCTCCATTTCAGTCTACCCTGCAGGGAACATCACATTACACAAGAGTTCTACACAAGCAAGGGGTGCCTGGGTGGCTCAATTGGTTAAGCTTCTGACTTTGGCTCAGGTCATGATCTCAGGGCCCTGGAATCGAGCCCTGTGTCTGGCTCCACATTCAGGAGGGAGTCTGCTTTTCCCTCTCCCTTTCTCTCTGCCTGTCCCTGCCCCTTCATGCATGCTCTCTCACTCTCTCTCTCTCAAATAAATAAAATCCTTTTTATTAAAAAAAGAGTTCTTTTTTTAAAATTTTATTTTATTATGTTATGTTAGTCACCATACAATACATCATTAGTTTTGGATGTAGTGATCCACGATTCATTGTTTTCGTATAACACACAGTGCTCCATGCAGTATGTGTCCTCCTTAATACCCATCACCCCCATTCCCTTCCCCTCTAAAACCCTCAGTTTGTTTCTCAGAGTCCATAGTCTCTCATGGTTTGTCTCCCCCTCTGATTCCACCCCCCTTCATTTTTCCCTTCCTTCTCCTAATGTCCTCCATGCTGTTCCTTATGTTCCACAAATAAGTGAAACCATATGATAATTGACTTTCTCTGCTTGACTTATTTCACTTAGCATAATCTCCTCCAGTCCCATCCATGTTGATGTAAAAGTTGGGTATTCGTCCTTTCTGATGGCTGAGTAATATTCCATTGTATATATGGACCACATCTTTTTATCCATTCATCTGCTGAAGGGCATCTCGGCTCTTTCCACAGTTTGGCTATTGCGGACATTGCTGCTATGAACATTGGGGTGCATATGGCCCTTCTTTTCACTACGTCTGTGTCTTTGGGGTAAATACCCAGAAGTGCAATTGCTGGGTCATAGGGTAGCTCTATTT